GGTAAGGTATTTAACAATAAGGATCTTTGTCAAAAGGTGTATGTTTTACTGGCTGAAATAAATATTGTATAACTGCCTTGAACAAAAATCTCTAGTTTTATTTTTTCTAAAAAAAAAAAAAAAAAAAAAAAAAAAAGCTTTGCTGAAAGTTGTGCTTGTTATTATCCAAATGTTTTCGTTTTCTAGTGAAAGTTTGCAGTGTGCAATTTCTGGATCTGTGGCAAAACTCACAGGCCCAATATTGAGCACTTAGGTTTACTGTACAATGCCTGGAGAGAGTTAAGAGCCCCAGATGAGCATTTGTTACAGTTACTAGGGAATCACCTGCCCTAGCCAGCAGAAAATACTGAGTACAGGTTTGTCTTAAGTGCCTAAGCCCAGAAATTATATTACTCTTCAGGGAAGCATCTTCATCCACTTGGGATTTAGTCTTAAACCTTCCCTTAGTCTTAAGCACGTCAATCCATTCTTTCAAAAATGAAGCAGGATTTGGCCCTTTCTTTGCCACCTTCAAGCCGATATTAGATAATAGTGTAGGCCCACCTTCCCTTTCTTCAAACTGGATGACTTTTAATTTGAAAAAAAGTTTTCTTACAGATGACCACCACTTTCAGCCTCCCAATCCAAATTCCCCCGTTTTGCCCCAAACTGCTACCAGACTCAGTTGCACTAAAATAGCACCAGTGCAAGCAAATACAATTGTACATAAAAACCTTTTGTACAGTAACCATAAATAATAAAATGTGGATCAACGTGGCAGACGTATTTGGGTTTTTTTCATAAGCCTGCACAATTTAGAGTGTGTTGTACTTTTCCAGTTGATGTACCTAAATGTGATTATTCTAATGTAATCATAACGTACAAAGTAAATTTGAATCTCTCTCTCTCTCTCTCTCTCTCTCTCTCTCTCTCTCTCTCTTTTAGGAACAGTATGAATTCTGCTACAAAGTGGTACAAGATTTCATTGATATATTTTCTGATTATGCTAATTTTAAATGAAATTTCCTGCCTTATTTTTTTTAATTTAATAGCCAATGTATATATTTGTAAATCTTGTTAATTTATTTCATATTTGTCATTCTGATTCTTGACTCATACCATTAATGGTATTACTTTGCATTTTGTTCTCAAAGTTACATTTGCTGCATAAACTTGTAAGTTGATAAAGCAGATATCTTTTAATATTAAGTGTTCATATACAATACATCCATGTGGTATAAGATGTTATATACATCTTTGTTCTAAATAATGGTAAAATCTTCAATTTTACCTTTATTGAATGTTTTAATTAAAATATGTCAGTGATTAATTTTCCTTGGTTAGCAGTGTTTAAATTTTCCAAAGCTGTTTTATTTTCATATAGAAAACTGAATCATAGCAAATATTTTTATTTGACCTGGGACCTTCTCACATTAAAGTCAGTAGCAAAAAATTGATTTTATCAAGTCATATTCTGATACCCTTAGTCGCAGTGAGCTGCAGCTTGCTCCATGAATAGCTTCACTAGAAGCAACTACACATTTTACAGGGTAAAGTGCTATTCACTGGGTGCATCTACATGTGAAATTAAGGTGAAGCAATGAACTCTGGACCTGTCGGAGCTGGACTAGACTGCTCCTGGGTCCTCAGTTTGAGCTGGGGTAGAGCAGGCCTGGGCTGGCAGGGGACACAAGGGGTCAGCCCTAGGCTCCAGGTGGTGGCATCAAGCAGCAGAGGAGCTGGCTGGGGCATGAGGATGCTGAATCTGCAGAGCCATATGGCTAGGCAGCAGGCAAGCCACCCCATCACTGTCTACACCTTCATTTCAGTGCAGTTATTTACTCCACTGTAAGACAGTACTGTCCCTGACAGTACTATCTTATGGCAGAGTTAATTAGTTTAATGCACAAGTACAGTGATGCTTTGCTAATGAGTCTACTCCACAGTAAAGTGCACATGTAGATGCACCTACTGTGAAGATGTCAGAATTTGGCCCTTGCCATATAATAATGTACAACCCAACTTCAGCTTTAATATAAATATTGACAACAATGTGTTTTTTTTATAGTCTGTATATAGTAGGTAGTAGGGATGTATGAAACAGACCCTATTTGATTCGGATTCAGCTGAATCGGGGACAGTGATTTGATTCACTGATTCAGATCGCTGTCCCTGATTCGATTCCGCCAAATCTGAAGATTCGATGTTGATTCAGAGAACCTGTGATTCGGCCATAGACGCAGCTTTGAATGTTTTTCCTACATACCTCAAAGAACCGGGCATGGCTCGTGAACATTGTGATGCTGGGGTGGATGGAACATCCCACAGGAGCGTGCCTCCTCCTGCCCCTGTCCTGCATGCTCAGCAGTGAACCCAGAAGTGGACTGGAAGTACTTCTGGGTCCACCAGGGAGCGTGCTGCCCCCCGCCCCCCCACATCCCTGGCTCAGCGATTGGTCGTGGGGGGACCCTGAGTCCCCCCCCCCCAGACCCAGGAGTCACCAGTTGCCAAGCTGGGATGCACGGGGTGGCCCCTGGCATGCTCTCCGGCATCTGATCCACTTCCGGGTCTCCTGCTGAGCACACTGGGGAGCCCCCCATGCTTCTGTAGGACAGTCCATGTGCCCAGCATCACAGCATTCACAAGCTGCCTGCTACCTGGAGATATGTAGAAAAAACATTTAAAGCTGTGTCTATGTCCAAATCTTTCTGAATCTCTCCAAATCGATTCAGAGGGTTCCAATTCAGAGATCAGATCCCATGGCACCTTTACATGAATGTGTTAGGGGTCTTAGATATGCATCAGTGTAAATTGCTCCATTTAAGCATGGTCCATTTTATTTTGCTTTTATTTAAATGGAATGCAACTTTTTAAAATGTTCCTTTTCAAAATAAATACAGTATTTTAATTTATGGGTGACGTTTTTTCACTATTTTGAGAATCTTTTGCACATCAGAAGACTAAATTCAGCTGCAAATGTTTTTGCTACCCATGAGCTTCTGCCAACTATTTCAAGGGATTTTTTTCTTTTGTCACAAGCATATATATGTTTGATAAAATATGTTATGATGTGTATAGTTATAGGGGAGAGAAAGAGAAACTTACAATCTCTCTACTTGAACAAGCAACAAGGTAAATACAAACATCTGTTATTAAGTTTTGAGAAACATATTAATAGGGAAATGCCACTTGTATCAATAGTAAACTATTGATAGGAAGAAGCTCTTATAAACCATTCCTAAAATATCCTTTCCCCATTTAAAAATGAAGTCTTTCCTTAATCTAAAAAAGTATGTGTATATAGATATATTTTTAATGAAAATACTATTGAAAAGCCTTATTACTAAGAAAAATAAATAAAATCTTTATTATAACCCTGAACAGGATTTACTTTGGGGGTTGGAAATACACAAGGCATCTGAATGTTGAAATATTTTTAAAGCAGCTTTCCCACTCTTTAAAAGGCTTACCTAAATTTAATGAGCACAAAAATAAGTAATTTACATAAGTATCTAATATGCAATAGGTCTGTCATTTTCAATTGGTTGACTTTCTCCTGAAAACGTAAAAGCCTTATTTAAAAATAAACTGATCTCTTCACATTATTCTTGCACTATTTTGTTCCATGTTCATTTATGTCTGGAAATGAGTAAAGTCAGACTTTTAATAACACAAAGGATAAAGGTGTTCACACCTCTTCTTTTATTACATAGTGAACAGAAAAAGACTTGGGTTAAACGTTTTTAAGCACACTGTGTTGAACACTGCCGTTTACTGCTTGTTGTCTTCCCAGTAATGCACTTCTGTATATTTATTTGTACAATAATTATGCACTTAACAACTGCAGCAGTTTTGTTGCTTGACTAAACATTTGATGTGAGTTGTTATTAATGGATACATTTAAAATGAAGAAGTCTTCATTTGACTAAAGAAAAATGTTAAATAAGCTTTCAATTTTGGCATGTTTTGAAAGTATAAAATGTATCAAAATAAAAGCCATGAAATAAACTGAGTTACAAAAAGCCAGTACCATTTGTAGTACAGGGAACAACTAAGTGTGGTACAGATTTGATGCTGATAAGACACTTTATTTCATTCCTCAGTCAGGATTATTCTGTACAGTAATTCTCAAATGACTGTCCAGTCATGTTTTAAATGGATTCCTGAGGCAATCTATTCTATAGTGGCAACAGATCTCACTGTAAGGAGTTTCATGATATTCAGCCTACATTTTTATTTAACAATCCTATGTTATCTTGTTATGCCCTGTGAATGACCTGTCTGTAATGTTCCATGAATTTTTCTGGATGGTATCTTACATCAGTAATAATGCAATGAAATCTGCTGGCTCAGACTATATGTAAAGATTACCACACTGACTGCAGGGTAATTCCAAGTGGACATATGAGTCCACTGTAACAGATGCCTTTTCAAAGCACTAATAAAGCAGCAGGTTAATTATCTCTAGATGCTCAAAGTATCAGGTACTAAAACCAATAGTCTGGTTACAATTAGCTAAAATACCAAGGGATCAGGATTTTTGTGGGTAGTATCTTTTATTGAACCAACTGCATGGTTGGGATAGTCTTAGACAAGCTTTGTACCCTTTTTTGAATGCACTGCATTTGAAAGCTTGTCTAAGTCTATTCCAGCCATAAAGTTGATACAATAAAAGATATCACCCACAAAAGTCATTGCCTCTCGCATGTTTTCTGGACCATCATGGCTCCATCACTGCTAAAATAGGAAGAAATTCCTGCTGCTGTTATAAGGATTCACAGATTCATAGATTCTAGAGTCGGAAGGGACCCAATGAATCATCGTGTCCGACCCCCTGCCCCTGACAGGAAAGAGGACTGAGGTCAGATGACCCCAACCAGGTGATTGTTAAGCCTCCTCTTGAAGACCTCCAAGTTAGGTGATAGCACCACCTGTCTTGGAAGCCCATTCCAGACTCTGGCTATCCTTATTGTAAACAATTTCTTCCTAATGTCTAACCTGAAGATGTCTGAAGTATAAAAGAAATCCCCATAAAATATTTCAAAAGTCATAAATATGGCTAAACAATGACGTTTCTTGCTATAATTTAGAAAGCTTGTTTTCCATTTTTTAGTTAAATAAAGCTGTTTTGTTTAATACAACAATCTAATAGGTATATAATAAGGATTATTTCTTTCACATTTTCTATGTTGCATGGAATTGCATTAAAATGCCAAATAGTGATTAGAAAATGTACATTCTGATCTACATGCATTATTGGTCACTATGTGACTGACTTGACTGTCTATTTTTATGTGTTATGTTAGACTCCAGTTCACCAAAGTATTTAAGTACATGCTGTAAGTCCATTTCTATTCAATAAAGCATTTAATATGGACTTAGGTCTGGCTGGTTTCATTTTTCTGGAAGCATGTACTTTTAAGTGCTTTGCTGAATTGAGTCCTTAACAAAAAATGCATACTGTAATTACCAGTGTTTTTAAAAATATTTTTATGTATCCGTTTTTTAAACTTTTAAAATAAGCCTGGCCACCTGTGTGTTGAATATTTTGAAATGTTTTCTTTTCCCTAGTATCATTTTTAATGTAAAGTTACTGAAACTTTTCTGTAAAACCAAACTGTATTTAATTTGTCAAATCTTTATAAAATATGTATGTATTATACAGTTTCAGCTACTATTGATATTTTCTTTTATTACATTTATAATTTGATCTTGCTGTGTTTATAATGCCAGTGAATGTTGCTGAATTATTTGTATATGCAAATTGCAAGATCTAATACATTCTGATGCAAGAACAAAGCTTCGTTTTCATTTTCAGACTGTATTTCTTTCTTTAAATCTCTTAATTTCATTCATGTACTATAGATTCATTTAGACTAAGTATTCCAAAGGAGTTAAGAATCCATTACATAGATAAATTATTCTCCAGTAATTTTAATCTGTAGTTTTTTCAGAGTGAGAGAAATATCCTGCCTAAAGTTGTACCAGAACTTTGTATGTGTTATGCATACAAAATAACTCAAGACAGCAATTCTGAGCTAAGTCCTACAAGGCCTCTTAGGCCTTGCTACATGGTAATTTGGGGTACGTTCCTAGAGCTCTTAACACCTGGACTGTCTACACATTAATACCTGAAACTAGTTTTAAGCACTCATTAGGCATCTTAATGTTATGGAACTCCAAAGCAGGATTATCTCTGATCCATGTTACCCAGCTCATGATACACTAAGATGTAGCTACTCTAGCCTACCCCTTAGTGTAAACACCCCACCCACCCCCGTCCCCTACTGCCCCAGATTTGACCAACTGTCCCCTCTGCCCTCCCCAGTGCCCCAGATCCCTGCTCTCTGCCCCCCTGCCTCTGCTTACTTGTGGCTGTCTGCACTGTCTGTCTCAGGGGAGCAGGGAAGTGTTAATCTGCCTGCCTGGCCACCAGTGCCCTGCCTCTGGGTGGGTTCTCTGATTAGGCTCAGCCCAGAGAAGAAGCAGCAGCCTAGCAGTAGTGCTGTGGAGAGGGGAAGCGGGGGCTGTGAGAAGGCAGGCAGGTTAACCCTTCTCTGCTTGCTCCCTCAGGATATACAATGCAGGTAGCCACAAGTAAATAGTGCAGGAGGGAGCCTCAGAGAGCAGGGGGCAGTAGGGAGGCCTGGAATGGGAGGTCAGGGAGAGAAGACTTTTTACCTTTCAGTCTACCAGGCCCCTGCTGGGCTGAACATGCGACT